TCTTCATATATCCCCTAATCCAACCCACTAATTATCTTTGTTACTCTTCTCTGCATTTTTCCCCAGTCTCAACATCTTTTTTATATCATGGCAACCAAAACTGGATGCAATATTCCAAGTACGGTCTTATCAAGGCATTATAAAGTTGAATTAACACTTATGTAATCTTGATTCTATACCTCTATTAATTCAGCCTTGGACTGCATTGCCTGTTTTGGGTGGCTTCAGCACAGTATTGGCTCATATTTAAGGGATTGTTCACTAGGAGTCCTAGATCTCATTCAGTTGAGAGTGATTAAGCCAGGTATCTCCAAAGTCTATACCTATGCATTTGGTTTTTCTTGCCTAGGTGTAGAACCTTAATTTTTTGAATTTTCATTTTGTTAGATAGGGCACAGTATTGAAGTTGGTCAAGACCCTTCTGTATCTTGCTTGAGCTTATCTTCTTCAGTGTTGGTTATTCCTGCCAGCTTGGTATTGTATGCAAATTTGATGAGTTTACCTTCTATTCCTCCATGTAAATCATTGATGAAAATATTGAAGAGTACTTCTGTATCTTGTGTTTATGTTTTGGAATGTTGGTTATTCCAAGCTAATGCTTTTAGGAATTTTGGTAGTTGGGATAAAAACACAAAAGGGCTCCCCCCCACAATAAAGCATGTTCTTTATTATTCCCCTTTGTGTTTATGCTTTGACAGAGTCAACTGAGGTGCCATATCCCTGTGTGTTTTGACAGAGATAGAGGGGAAAAATCATTAAGATCTTTGTGTGGCTTCCTGTAAGGATGCAGCATCTATATATTATTGTAAAGACAACTATCTGGGCATGCCCATGAAGGATTCAGGTGCCATTTGAAGGGGAGCTTATCTTTGTAGAAAAGCCAGTTGCAATGAAAGCCCTTAAATCAACTTATACTTGGACTATATCATTTCATGTTGCAGATTCATACTCATTGGATTGAGTAATCCTGCTGCTGGGAAGCTAAATTAGTAACTTTATAATAATAAGTGATAGAGGTCAAACATGGCTTTATACATTGTGTTAATGTAGAGCATCTTTAACTATAATTTCCTGTAGAAAATACTGGGGCTTCACTCAGATGATATGCTGTGCACCATGATTTGCAGAATAAAATGATTCTAATGACCCTAAGCAAAAACCACACAAACCAGATTATGGTTCAGTGCAACTGTACCTGATTAATCCATACTTTGAACATAATTCAATAAAAATGTTAAAAAATTAAAATAACTAAAAGCTGTCGTGACCATCACAACTGGGTATATTTCAGCGTCAAGAAATCTTGCGCAAAGTATTCTTATGGGAGGCTAAGATCTTAGGAGTGAGATCCTAAATTTTAGAACATTTTGGTGAATTTTAATAAAACATATATAGGGCAGGAATGTACATTACTTTAAAAGACTTTTGGTCCTTGGATTAATGCAATAAATCTGGCAATGGGGTATATTTAGAAACAGAAGCTTTCAGGCAAGTTTACAAACTTGAGGAACACAATCTGAACATTTGATTTGCACATTTCAGCACTTATAACACAATAAAACAATAAAAACCAATGTTGTAAACTTGTTAGATGAAAGCAAGTTTATTGTGCCAAGTGTATGTGACCTAAGCAAATACATAAATATAAACACAAACTTGGGGATGTTATGCCATAGAACCATCAGAAGGTTCTACGTAATCTTATTGAAGATTTCATTGTAACAAAATGATGACAAATACTTACTATTGTTGACTTGGGTTGGCAGGGAAAACAATTCCATTAAAAAATGGAAAATTTGATAACAACAGCATGCAGAAGTAAGAAGGCTCAACTATAGGAGCCCACTCTCCTTAATTTATCACTTTGTGACACCTTGGAACTCACTGCTTCTATGTACAGTGAAAGTAGGACATGCTCTATTATGTAATTTCATATGACTGGTGGTAGTATCCAGTGTTCAGAAATTGCTCCCATAATCATCTCCACAAATTGCAGCAGCCTCCCTCAACCTGATGTCCTCTAGATGTACTATACTAGTGGTTCTCAACCTTTTCTTCACCATGGACCCCTTTAAATACTTTTTGGAAACCGCTTTGGTCGCATTGACCGATGATCTCTGGAGGGCCAGAGATGGAGGACATTCCTCCATCCTGGTTCTCCTTGACCTCTCAGCGGCTTT